TTTAATAAAAGTGTAGTGGCCTGAGTGTACATATATTTGTTTTAGTGGCAGTGCATTGGATCCAATAAAACTATATTGGCTTCACTGCTTATGTCTCCTTTTCAGAGAAAATGGATTGAATGGAAAAATGAAACAGGCATGAATCAACCAGCCCTGAGGTCTCTGCTCAACTCTGGCATCCAAATAAACTGGCAAAAAAACCCCAACTAAACATTGCTTTTAAATTTAAATAAGTTTTAATGTCAAGTCTGCACATGAGGGGTTTAATTGCCTCTGTAAAGGAGAGCAGTTTTCAGAAGCAGACTTGGCTGTAGAGGGTCAGTGCATCTGCTTGCAGCTGCAGAAGTAGAAATCTAAGGTGGTTTCAGCTTTCCGTTCCGCTGGTGTAAGTCAGGTTCATTCGCAAAAAAGGCACTCAGCTGATCATCACATATCTGCAATAATGCAGATCGAGTGTCATTGGCCTTAGCACAGCGGGACCTCTATCCAAAACTGCAGGCGCATGAAGCACGGGTGTAAATCACGTCCGCGTTGGGTGCTAGTTGCCAGGGGCTGACTGCCGTGAGGGTTTTATACACGCTCCTCCAGGATCAGTCACTTCTGTCACCTGGAGGGAATGCTATACTCATCTAATTTTGCACCAGACCTCACAAATGCTTTCTATTCAGCGATATTACCTGTAGATGTTACTGCAGGTAAGAATGCCACCAGAGGCCAATGAGAGGCTGGTCTGGAGCATGTTCACAGTGGCTTTTCAGAGTGGTTTGCAGTAGCTTCTGCTAAATGGAAGTGTGCTCAGCAAAGAGTCTTAAATAAGTTAAAGCATGATTTAGCTATTTGTTTTACATTCGCAGTCCGCAATGTCCCCAGTTTTTAATGACACCTGTAGAGCGCAGCTCTGTGCAGCTGGTTAATGCCCATGTTGAACACGGCAACTCAGATCATCACGTTCTCACATGCATTTGTTTGCAAAATCATTGCCACCCCTGTGTCAACACACCTAAAAATGTCACCAATGCACTTTCTAAATTCCCTAAATTGAATTAGAAAAGGAAAAAGTATTCCTGTCCTTTTCCAAACTTCCCTGGTGTCACCTTAACAGCCAGGGCAACTGAGGGAGAGCTCCACTCCTCTGAGGTTAGAAAGGACACTTCACTCAGCACGGCAAGCATCATCTGGATATTTTCTGAGGGGTGAAATGGATGCTGTTGGCTGGCCTGGCTTGTCACATACCTTAAACCACTGAAAGCTGACAACCCAACCTGAGTAATGCTTTGTTTGATGCCATGCTTCCTTTTAGGAGACTGGAATCAGATCGTGTAAATCCAAATCTGCATGTTATTCCTTCGTGAGAAAACATGATCTGCATCAACTCATTTACAGTTTTTGCTGAACTGGGTGCCCCTGGGACTGTGGGAGCCTATCCAAGTGAGAAGAATTTGGCTGTAGCAGTAGTTTAGCTGTGGGAGAGGAGATGACTGCAGGCTTCTCCAGCCCTGGCTCCTCAGAAAACTGTGAATGAAGAAATAATTCAGAGAAAAGCAAAACAGCTGTTAGCAAAGTAATATTAAGGTAAAAATCAAGATGAGGAGTGGGTTTGAGCGTCACCTACAAAATCCCTGTAACCCTGTGGAAGTGAAATGTAAGTTATACACACTGCAGTCAGTTCATACACCCCAGGAATGAGCTGTCTCCTGAGACCAGGGTGGCCAAACCAGGTTTCTGATAGCTCTGAGAACTTCACCACTGTACACATGATGATGGTGAAGGTGGCAGACCTCCTGAAGCATCTAGATAACCACTTTGAGAGTGCTAGGGAAGATCAATGGGTGCCAGTAAATAAAAAGGTTGCAGACTTCACGATGATGTTCTGTGAGATGCTCCCTGAAGAGGAATGTGCAGAAATGCAGATACTTGTGAGGAGCTTAGAGAGGAACTTGAATATTTTTTAAGAAGCTGGAAAATTCTTGCAGGAGACTACCTGGGAAAGATAGGCTCTATCAAAATCAAAATAGGACCTGGCACTTACAGTGTAAAGGATTAAAGGATGGTTTTAACTGGAAGCTGACATAAATCTGGGTGCAGAGGAGTACACAGCCTGAGATGACACCACCTCCAGGGGTGAAAACATAAATTCTGTATCAGAAAGGGATTGGATAAATTAAGGGAGGACAAATCCCACCAGGGCCATTAAATTCTATGGTCCAGTTCCTCACGGTTGCTGGAATCTGGAGGCGTAAGCAAGGGATTTATCAGAGGCACAGGTCGTGTGATGGAGATGAGTCTTCACGGCCTCTTTGTTGATTCATGATTCCCCACACAATACAGAATAATGGAAGCGCTGAGGGAGAGATCTTTAAACTGCCTGCCCACTACAAGATCACTTGCATGGGCCCCATGTCCCCCACAGCCCATCTCTGCGACTTCTCACCTGCCACACTGGCTCCTCCATTGAGCACTGGCCATCGCACAGTGTCAGCCCCGCACCCGAGCCTCCTCTGGCCAATACTCTGCTTCACGATGAGCAGCCACCAACAACTTTTCTGCCAAGCTGGGGATGTTGCAGCCACCTGAGCAGCTCATGCAGGGATCTTCTGCTTTTTGTAGCCCCTGCCCAGGCATGTGGGAGATGCCTTGTTTGAGTCCTAAATATGTTTCACTTAAGCCATGATGTTGGTGTACTAAAGTGCTGTAATTTTGCTAGGTCTCTCTTTACATTGCTGTAATTACCATAATAAGCTGTTTTAACTGGGTCTTTTATAAGTAACAGCAACATAAAAATATCTCAGCATGTTTTCCTTTAATGAGGTACAACTTCTGTGCAATCTTCCCTACACTTTCTTCAGTGTCTCTGCGATGGATGTGGCATCTTTTTCATCTCCTCCCCATCATTGTGCTACTTCACCCCTGAGCTAGCAAGCTGGCCCTGGGACTCTCAGTGGGGCTTCATCCAGGCTGTCTCAATCTGGAAAATGCAGTGGCAGTGATGCTGAGTGATGCCAGCATGGGGCACAAAAGCATTTCCCCCACTTGACCCCTCCACCAGGAGCGAAGTTTTCAGGATGTCTCAGGGAGCGAGGCGACTTTGTCTGTGGATATCATGACTGGCTGAGCCAAGGGAGGGGACATTCACCGCCACGGCTGTGGGCCCTGCCAGCGTGTGGGTCACACCGCCCAGATGCTGCACATGCCGCAGGGAATGGGTTACCATCACCTGCACCTCGTGTCCATTTAAGGACACCAGGGGGGAAAGTGATGACAAAAGGGATTGATACCCAAATGCTAAGGCAGAAGTTCAGTGCCGGGGCCAGTAACTGATACAAGTCACTCCAGACGAGCCGTGAAGCAGAAAGGGTTCTGACTATGTGGCACAGGGATTTGAGGGACAGCTGTGGAGAGCTTTCTCCGTCATTGCTGCTGGCAGAAAGCACTAATGCGGTCAGGCAGTGCCTCTGCTCCAGCCATCCGTTCACACCACTGCCGCCCAGCTCCATCAGCCCGGTCTCGAGGACTGCCTCTGCCCCTCGGCCCTCGCCCCTCAAATGCTGCTGTGGGAGAGCCAGAATACAGGCATGGAGCACGGTCCAAAAAGCCTCAGACAATTACGCCACCATAATATCACATCAGTGAACTCACAGTTTGACTGCTTACGGCAGATGGACGAACACTTGTCGGTTATCTGGTGCTGAGCGAGAGGCAGATTTATTTCCAGAGCTTGCGACTCTCATTTCTCCCAGCTGAAGCTGCAAGGCAGAGTGTGCATCTGTGATTTTATTTTTTTTTTTCAGGCACAGCTATGTTGCAGTGAGGTCTATCACCAAAGGCGATTGGATTTTTGGCGTGTTTTTATGGGGGAGGCAGGAAGGAGGGTGGATGGTGTCACTGCCTTCCACAGCACTGGAATCTGCTTGAATTCACACAAGCATGAACTGAATTTCCAAATCTCAGCCATACCTTGTGTGCACTGGCAGCTGGTTCCCCAGCAAAGGACTGCAAAGCCCCATAAAGCAGGGTAAAAAGCACCAGGTATGTTCATTTGTGTGATGTTAATGTGCACTCTAAAAATAAAGGACACAGTGAATTGCCATCTTGGAGCTGGCCAAGGGTCCACTCAGCCCTATCTCCAGTCTCGGCTGTTGACAACACCAACTGTGTTGGGAATTGGAAGGAAACCCTCAGGAGACAGCTGCACTGGTCTCCTGAGCAAAGCTGACTTATACCTGAAAATAATGCATGGGCTACAGAACTAACTGCACTTGCTACAAAACCAGCATCGTATGCTTTCTGCCAACATTTCTCCAGTGAGACATCAGTGCAACCCAACAATTGCTAGCAGGCAGGATCTAACAGGGACTGAAAAATATTCTGAGGTGTGAGATTTACTGAAACCTGTAAAGCACCAACTGCAAGAACCTCACTTACTAACCACTCACCAAGGCTCTTCTTTTTCTCAAAAATATCCCTGTTGCAGGAAATTTGGAAAAGATGTACAGTTTGCAAATGTCCATAAAAGGCTTCAACACAGCTGCTTAGGACTATCTCATTTTCAAAAATGCACTATAAGATTTTATAGTTCACTTAATTTTTCTTTAAGGAATTGGTAATATTTACTGGAAACTGATCCTGAACTCAACCACTGACTTTCAGCTTTGAACTGTTCCTTCAGCTTCAAACCTGTCCATGAAGGGTTATTAGTACCTCCTGACTAGATGATGGTTTTGGTAGAAAGAGCAGGGGAAAGTATGCATTAAAAGTGTACCATTTTCTAAACAGTTTTCTCTGTTCATTTTGGATGGGATCTGGCTTAGAATAACAGAAATAATTTAATCTGGAGCAGGTTGAATATTTTGAGATGCCCCCTTTTATTCCCCCCCCCCCCCCCCCCCC